GAAGGAAGGAAGGAAGGAAGGAAGGAAGGAAGGAAGGAAGGAAGGAAGGAAGGAATCAAAGCATTGTAGAAGATCTGGGAGGGAGGGAGAGATTGGACAGATTGGACAATGTATCCGCTGATATTTGTATTGAATCAGATACTATAAAGCATAAAGCTTCAGCCATCGTACGAGATTTCAGACTGTTCATAAAGGACAAGGGATTACCATTTAGGGGGCTGCTTTTAACGAAAATACCTAAAATACTTTTCTTTTATCTTATAGGATTTGAAGATATTCGAGAACAAATCTTTGAACCGCCACAATTTTCAAACGATTCTACGAAAGTTATTTTTTTCTTCCTTATGGCCTTTTTTGCCATGGTATCCATCGCCAGCAACTCGCTGGTTATTCACGTGGTCAGGGTCAATCCACACATGCACAGTACCACTAACTACTTCATAGTGAACATGTCTGCTGCGGATCTACTGGCCACAGTTTTTACATCATCAAATGCGATGAAGACGTTGCAATCTGGCTTTCGTTGGAGTTCGGGAGTAATCGGAGTCGTATCATGTAAAGGAAATCTTTTTTTAATGACCACTTGCCTCATGTGCTCTATATTCAGCCTGGTTGCAATCACGTTTGACCGGTTTATGGCCGTTATCCGTCCAATCACGTACAAGTATTGTTCATGGTGGGCCAAGTACATCATACCAGCTGTGTGGATAGCATCGCTGGCGATATCATTTCCACTGGCTTTCCTTAAAATGCAAGTAGGAGATGACTTTCTTGCAAATAACAAAACATATTGCTTCATGGAAGATGCTGCTGATGAAGGCATAGCTGTCATAGTCCTCGGATTCATTGCACCACACGTTGTCATGGTAATCATGTACTCAATGATCTCGTACAAACTCTGGAAAAGACGACTTCCTGGTGAGCAGCGTGACGATCAAAGAAACAATGTGGCTCAAACTGCAAAGAAAGTCACTCGCATGATGGTCTGTGTTGTACTTGTTTTTGACATCTGCATGGCGCCATTATTTACAGTGTTTACCCTACCTTTCTTATTTAACAACAAGAGCTGGATGCATACCTCTTACACTTCGACATTATCCAGTTTGTTTACAACTTCTAATGGCTTCCTTAATGCCTTGGTTTATGCTTTCTTTAATGAGAACTACAGACGTGCCTTTTGTGATACTTTGGGCCTTCTGAAAATAAGAAACTGGCTGGGAAGAAAAACTGAAAGGATAAGAAACTTTGTTAGTAAAAGAAATAGAACCGCAAACTTTACGGTTAATACTCAACCCGACTAGCTGGGTTGAACTTTGGATGATATATAATGGACAAACTGAAGGGTTGAAGGGGAGAGAAGAAAGAGAGATAGCCATCAAGCAAGGAAGCAAGGAAGCAAGGAAGCAAGGAAGCAAGGAAGCAAGGAAGCA